AATTCCCCAGACTCTGGTCCCTGTGGACCTTCCCAGCTCCTGCCAGGCTTCCAACAGCCCTCCCTGGACACCCATGAGGAATGTGGTCCAGGGAATGTTGGATTAATGCTCCACAACCATCTGTCCTTTTCCCTTCACCACCCAACGACACACAAATCCCTTCATTTCACCCTGTCTTTTGGGAAATGTGGAAAAAAAAAAAACCCACCCCAAACCACCCTGATTTTTGGTGATGTGCCACACCTCTGCTTTCCCTGACCTTTCCACCACCATCCCAACCTTCAGCTTGGAGCTGGGGTTCAGCATGATGTACTTGAGGGTGTTCTGGATGTTCTCGGTCCACGAGGCCAACCAGGTGACCGTGTTGTCAAAGCGAACCTCCTTCCACTTGTGACCTTCGGGGGGCTTGGGAATCTTGGAATCCCTGTGGGAAGAGGGGGATTAAAGGCCTGAGACCACGGAGAGACAGGTCTACAGCGAGACAAGGATGGTCACCACGTGACAGTGTTACTTTGAGGAAACAGAGCCCACCCAAAATGGCTCCACAACACGGAACTGTTAAGGTTGGAAAAGCCCTCTGACATCAGGAAGTTCAAAAAAGAGCAATAAGGTCCCTCCTGAGCCTCCTTTTCTGCAGGTTGAGCCCCACCCAAGCCACCTCAGCTTCTCCTGCTTCTCCAGACCCTTCCCACCATCAGGTCTTTATCATTTGGACGCTGAAGACAAAGGAGAACTTTCTGGAGGGGAATGTTTTGAACCAAAAAGTCTTCAAATGGGTGGTTTAAGACCAACCCTACTCATCTTAACCCAATCACTGCCTTCCCAACCTCCTCCAGGGAGGATCCTGGTGCTTTCCAGGCAACGGGAAGGACCCAAAAAACTGGGAGGGATGGAAATTAGGAGGAGCACAGAGTTGTCCCTTCTTCAAAGAGGCAGCAGGAGAACCACGGTGTCCATGGTCAATTTTGGATGAACTAATGGGAGATGATGCTGCTTGAGCAGCTTCCTGGCCACTGGAGACCCACAGAGGAATTCAAAGTCAGACCTCTGGAGGTGACCAAAGAGCTCCAGTGAGTGCTCAGGGTCTGGGCAGAGATGTCCTGCTCACCCCCATCACCCAGTCCCAAAACCTCCCCCTCCCCCAGGAGCTCCTGACAACTCACTTGCTGCAGTTGATGACAACATCTTCTGGCATGATCCTCTTCTTCAGCATCCCCATCTTGGGGTGGTCGCCACGGCCCCGGAACAGCCCCGGTGGCTCCGTTTTGAAGTTGCCGATCTTCTCGCGGTGCCCATCCAGGATGCAGTACCCGTATTCCTCCTGGATCTTGTCTGCCTCCTCCTTCAGCTTCTGCAAGGAGCACCAGGACACCAAAAAAAAATATTAAATAATCATGGAATGGTTTGAGTTGGAAGGGACCTTCAAGGTTATCTCATTCTTATTCCACCCCCCTGCCCTGGGCAGGGCTATCTTCCACCATCCCAGGTTGCTCCAAGCCCCATCCAGCCTGTCCTGGAATACTCCAAGGGATGGGGCAGCTAAAACTCCCCTTGGCAACCTGTGCCAGTGTCCCACCAGCCTCCCAGTAAGGAATTTCTTCCCAACATCTAATCCAAACCCACTCTCATCCCATAGGATGAGATTTAACCCCCAGGGCTGGTGTTTACCCATCCCCACCCTCTTTTCCCTGGAGAAAAGGAAGGTTGGGAAAACAGAGCTCAAAGAGTGGGAGGAGGAGGCAAGTTCCACTCCCAAAACATGGCTCATCTCCACCCACTTTGCCAACCCTCCCAGTGAACCTGATGGGACAGCCCTGAGGGCCACCAGCCCCTCAGCAAGGGCCACCATCCTCTGGATAGAGCAGGATCCAAACCCATGCTCCAAGGATGGTCGGTATCCATGGAGAGGAGGGTGATGGTCCAAAGAAGTCCCAGGGCGTAAAACCAAGCGAGATGACAAGCAGGAGCCCAAAGACCCCAAAAAGCTGGACCCCAAAACCACGTTATCCAGTCCCAGATGCCACAGGAACGAGCCCTGACCTGCTTCTCCTCCTTGGGGAGCGCCTTCCGGGCCTCGCTTTTGTCCACGAAGTATTTGTGGATCTCACTGAAGTCACACTTGGCCAGGTCCTGGATTATCTCCTGCTCCTCCGAGGTCATCTCCTGGGAGAGAGGGGGGATGGGCTGGATAAAGCCAGGAGGCCAAACTAACCCCACGCAGGGCTGCTGTTTGTGCCTCTCCTTCCCAGAAAAAAGGGAACAGAGCCCCAGATTCCAGCTTTTTGGGAAAAAACAGGAAGCAGCAGCCACAGCCAGGCAAGCAAAGCTTCCATGGCAGGAGGTCTGGAGGACCTCTGGATTCAACCAACACCCAGACAACCAAAAAGCAGCCAAATCTGGGATGGAACAACCTCTGACATGGAAAAAAAATTCCCCCAAAACCACCTGAGGGACTGCAAAAGATGTACCAAAGGTATTTGGGGTGGGGAAGGAAGGGGTGTGTGTGTAAACACACCCTAGCAGGGTTTTGGTTTTATTTAAGACCATGAGGTTATTCCTTCAAGCCCAAAAACCATTTGGGAAGCTGTTTGGAAGATCCAGCACCTCCTTCCACCACCAAAACTCAGGGGGAGCACAAGTGAAGCCCCCAAATCCCCAAAAAACCCAAGGAAACGAATCAGAATTCAGGATCTCATAGTTATAAATAAGCCATGAGAGCCCCTCATCCCCTCCCATCCCACACCATGGCCTGCTGATGGATATCAAGGAAGCCCTGCCAGGGATTTACCTTCCTCCAGTCGTGGAAGAAGTTGTTCTGGAAGATCTCCTTGCTCGTGTACTCGTGGTCGAGCATTTTGGCATAAAACGTGGCGATTTCCTCCGTGGCCAAGCTCAGCTTCAGGGGTTTTCCTGGGAAAAAGGAGGACCTTTGGCATCAGGTTAAGGGAACAGCCCAACCCCACATTCCTCTGGGGGCTCCTCACATTCCATACTCCATCAAAAAACAGGGACAAGGGGGTAGAAGAGTCACAGGCAGGACCTTGGCACGTCCCACGCCAGGATCAGCATCCAGAGCTCTTGGCACAGTGGGATGTTCCTGAATCCCATCCATTCCAGGAGCCAGGACCCTGATTGGAGAGAGGTTTCACCCCATCCATGCAGATGGAGCAACCATGGGACGCTCCAAGCTGGGCAAGACAGAGGCAAGAGCCTCTCCTGCTCGCCCAACAGATCCAAG